AATAAACAAAAACTACACTGGATTTACTCATTTTTAATAACAAAAATATAGTCCAAAAAATAAAAATATAATTAAAAAAATTTTAATTTGTAAATAAAAAAAAAAAATATATAAATATTTCATTTAACACACGAGCAACTACAAAACACTACTCCATGAAAACGAATGTGACAAATGACAAATAACCAATAAGTCATAAGATACCTATTGTACCAAACCAATATATATTTAATATCCGGAGGCTGGAATAACTGAAATCTAGAGTGCTAGCTTACACGCTAGGCAATTATTATTTATTCCCGAATTCAAACGTATTATATTTTGAGCGATTTATAGCGGTATTTCTAAAGTAGGAATTAACCGCCAAGTATGTAAGTCACTCTAGATTTCAGTTATAATTTGGGTTGGAATTTTGATGTAATTTTTAATTCTGATGTTCAAACACGTATGTTCACATAAAATATATTTCAGGTGATACTGATTAATGTAATGTAATTTTTACTCTGTATTTGTTGACATATTTAACTCTAATTAATTTTAAGGACATTTATCAAGTTTTTAGAGCGTTTGTCAGAAATTATGTATAAGCTCTTAAATATTTGGTGATTTTATCACGCGTTTCGGCGTCTGATCACCGAAAACATGCATGTTTATTGTTTAGTATGTACTATGTAATCCACTAAATACTAAATAGTTAATTGATAAAATATTAAAATAATAAATAGTTACTAGCAGTTTGATGAATTGCATTCAAATACATTTTTTTTCATATAGGTAGGTACATTTTTTTTTAATCAAATACCTATTAACTACCGTTTTAAATACTTTAAAAAAAAATTATTCCTAACCCGCGTTAATGGTTTCCATCCATCCTGGCAAATATTAGAGGGGAAAAAACAATATTATTTTAAAATTTGAATATCAGCCCATGTCATAATTAATAATAATAATTATTATTATTAAGTAATAAATAGATTTTTATATCATTAGCCGATAATGAATATAGACAGATATATGAATTATTCATATCTAATATGCAGTAATATCTATGGAATCGAGCCTAGTTGAATATGATATGAATATGATAAACAGGCTGTGAATTGGAAGAGTTGAGAGTCGTTTGATTCCGACTCAGCGGAATGAGTTAAAATTCCCATCCCTACGGGAGACTGGGGAAACGATTACTGCTTCTGTTAGTATGTATTCATGTCAACAGATGGCTTGTCAATACTGAAAACACAGAGTCGTGGGAAGGAGTCTGTAGAACATCTATGTATAACGGCATATTACATATGGCTAATATTTTTGCCCCACACAACGGGGAGCAGGTGTGTTTGTAAGGCTGGCGATCGGTTGTATTTATTCTATTCACCACCGTGATGATAGGTGTTTTTACATAACTTTCATTTTGTGGGCCAACTTTTGTTGTGTTGACTGTTGATGGCCACGGTCGATTGATGCTTGTAGATGTAGTTCTCTTGATTATGAATATGTAATTTGTTGCTGAATTGACTTTTGTTTGGGTTTGTCAGGGAAAGACATTAGATTACCGAAGGGCGGCCCAGTGGCGGATCCAGAGTTAGGAAACTGTGGGTCAGGAAATTTCAAGGGGCCACTTATTAAAACCAAATTAGAAATCTATACTTGTGTACTAGGTATATAAAACAAAAAAAAGGTGCTCCGCTGTACAGTAGGTTACAAGTGGGTCACTGTTGTATAATGGATAGTATTAAATTTGAATTCAATGATATAATATCATTGTATAAGAAAAACGATTCTGAGAAGAGACGGTATGTCAGTCTAGGTATAAGGCATATTATTTTCTTATCTATCGTATTAAAAAAAATTTACCTATAATAAATTCCAAATTAATGATATCCCAATATCCATTAGGTACTTATAATGCGTTATACGTCAACAACAAACCCTGATACTATCATAGTCCATACTCCATAGGTATATAATAGTGTACTTTAGAAGTTTCAAGTACCCACGAATAATATTACACAATCACAAAAAAATAACTAAAATAGTTATTCTAGGTTTTTTTTTATGTAATTTTATCCAAAGTTGAACTTAAAATGACTATACAAATAAACTGCGCTTATGTATTTTTTAGATTTTTTGGTAACAGAATTAACTACAATGGTGAAATCATGTTTTAAATTTCCAATCCTTAGATATAAAAGTTGAACATTTTATACATTTTTAACTACAATATAATTATTCAATTTTAAATTTGATAAATTTTGTCAAAATTCGATCTTTAAATGCTTATAACAAAAATTGTGCAGCCTATGTATTTTTAATATTTTTCAACTTATATTGTAACAATATATCAGGAGCCTTATATTAAATTTTTACACTTTTTGGCATAACAGATATAACTTTATTGATATTTATAGAAAAAAAAACTAAAAAAATTGAAAACTGAAAATGTCCGTAAACAGATCAAAAAGAGTCAAAATATTTTTGCTGTATACCTAACCTGCTGTACATTAGGTTACAACTTACAAGTGGGGGTCGCTGTAATGAATGGTATTAAATTTGAATTTATAATTATATAAAATATCATTGTATAAGAAAAACAATTATTTTCAAAATTGTACATTGTATAGAAAATGCTAATATGAACATTCAGTGAAATTTTCATGTATCTACAGTTATTTGTTTTTGAATTACAACAAAATAAGGAAATCGCTACATGAGAAATCGAGTGAATATCCAATGTTGTAAAAATTTGAATTTCAAACGCTCATAAAAATTTAATTTGACTGTCCGGTAGAGATTTTTTTATTGATAAAGGTAGACAAACTTATGAGTAATCTTGTATTACATTTTCAAATCTTAGATTTAAAAATAAAAATTTTTACGAATTCTTAACTCAAAATAATTTGATAATTTTCGTGATTTTTCCATATTTTGTCAATTTTTGAACTTTAAATGCTTATAAAAAAAAACTGTGACCAACGATTTTTAATATTTTTCATCTGCCTTTGAAACAATATACTAGGAGCCTTCTATTAAATTTTCAAGTTTTTTTAACCAACAAATAAAATTTTATTGATATTTCTAGAAAAAAAACTAAAAAAAAATGAAAAATGAAAATGTCCCTAAACTGTTCAAAATAAATCAAAATATTTTGAAAATGTTATCGTGTATAGAAAATGCATATAAACAACCAGTGAAAAATTCATGTATCTACAGTCATTTGTTTTAAAGTTACACCAAAAACCAAATTCAATTTTCTGAAAAATCGATTTTGCGTAAAAATTGCCGTTTTTCCTTAATTTTTCTTTTGTTTTTCTTGGCGCTTTTGAAAAGTACTGATAATTTTAAATTTTGACCTCCCAATGCACCAACTATATTCACTTCCCAATCGAACAAGATACTGAAGTCGAAAATCGAAGCATTATTTCGACTACTTATCGTGTACACAGACACAAAAAAAATTAAAATTTAAAAAAAAAACACACATTGTAAAATCAATACATTCATCGTTCCACTCAGAATCTAAAATTCATTTATACTATATGTGTGTTTATTTAAGTGTCCAACTACTCAAGATCGGAAAAGAGGCCAATTTGATCAGAAAATATTAACTGTGGGTCTCAGCAAGTCGTATGTGCAAATAGTGTTGATGCGGTAACAAGACAGTAGAGCGCGCCACATAATTGGTCGCTCATATTTTCTGTCCCGTTACAATATACTCGTTAAATAATTAGGTAGGTATAGGCTATATTATATTTTAACTGAATAGAACCAAACAATTTCCCTAAAGATTATTTGACTCATATTGTCTGGACCAAGGATGACTTATGACATGCAGATTTAAACATAAACCTTAATTTTTATTTTACCTACTACCTAAAATATTTTAGATTTAAATATTTTCTCTATTTGAAAAATCAGTCGCCTAAATTCATCATACTTTAATGATAATTTGAATTTTGAAACTAAATAAATTATTATAATAATATTTACATTATATTATTTACTGACAGAAATACAAAAAAAATTTCACATTTCACATTTTTTCTAGTAGATTTACTCAATTTTGTTGTATAGAATTACTTGTTGTATAGAAATATAGACCAACATTACAATTCCTAATTATATCTAAAATACATATATAATTATGTTCACAAATCTAAATAAATACAAATATTATATTCATTAGTAAATAAATAATAATGTTATAACTTATAAGTGTAATTATTGAGTAAATGTTTTTGTAATTAATTAAGAAGCTGATTCTATTATTTTCTTTTAAAACACCACTGTAAAATCAATACATAATCACATCCTTTAGAATTTATCATATAATAAATATGTTGGAGACTTTTTTATAGACAAATTAAATGTTAAATTAAGAGTGATGGCGATAGGTGACTGTAACTAAAATTTAAATTACATGTGAACGGTGATTTTTCCGGCTGATTTCCTTCTCGCAGTCCGTCACTGAATTTAGTACTTACCCGCCAGTGGCGAATAGGCTTATATTTTATTACTGGGAAGTAATTTGAATAAGGGCCCCCAAAAAATAAGATGTGAGCTACATTTTATTTTGATATAACAATACAATATAAAACTATATAATAAGTAATATACAGGCACGTACACAGAATAAAATTTCGGGGGGGGGGGGGGGTTTACAAAATAAAGCAATACAAATTGTACAGCAACATAATAAAACAATGTCTTCCTACTTACTCATTATTTTTAATTTTTTAATTATTATGCTACATTTTCAAACTTTATTATGTATGTCATTTGTTCAGTGTTCAGAAGTAAGTATATTTAGGAAATAGGAATATTAGGAATAATAATAGTAATAAAAATAAATAAAACTTTAAATAATATGTACCTATTATGAACAGAACAGAAATGTATTTGATTATTATATGCACATACAATTACCTAGGTATATTAACATTTTAAGTATAGATAGAAGAAAAAAATCAAACAATTTATATATTTTATATAAATAAAAATACAAACTAAAGTATAAAATCCCATTTTCGTGGTAACATTGCAAATCTATCGATAATTTCTTCCACATTTAAATCAACATTTCGGTATATGTTTAGTAAAGCCAATCCAGTAAGTCTCGTTTCTCCCATATTGTTTCGTAAGTATGTTTTAAGTCTCCGTAGAGTTGAGAATGACCGTTCAGCAGTAGCAGTTGTAACAGGTAATGTGGCCATAATTGTCAAAAGACTGTGAATGTTCGGGAAAAAATCATAAGACATTGCAGACAAAGTAGTCAATGATGTAGTTGGACGGTCTCTATCAGATACATTTTTCCATTTAGCTAGCCATATTTTAATTTCTGCGTCAAATGTTTCATAATTAGGTAAAATATCTTTATAAAAAAGCGCTACCTCTTGAAAATCTTTTATATCAGTTGTAGTTTTAAGAAAATTTGGAATAAGTGATTGTAGTTTGGCCATTACATGATGATGATTAGTAAATCTATCTTGTAATTGACAAATAAAATGATCCAAAAACGGTAAAAATATTGATCTTTTGTAATACTGTTCCGGAGAATCAGATGGAATATTGTTACGTGCAGTATGTCGACCTACAGTTCTTGGTGCCTCAATAATTCCTTCTAACATAGACTCTTCTACATTAGAAAATATTTGTTTAAACTCATCATCGCCATTTTCTCTAATTTCTTTAAATATTTGATACACATCTGTTACTCGCTCATAACAATATGACAAATCAATATTTACTTTTTGTAGTGCTGTAGATAGTGGTAAAGTTAAAGAAAAAAACTTCTCAATCACATGTAAAGCTATGATAAAAACTGAGTTATTAATGGAATTTGAAAGCTGAAAAGCTGTACGTGATGTTTCTATATTTGAACACTCTTCTAATTTTTTTAATGCATAATAAATAGCTTTATATAATTCTTTAAATCTAATTAAGCTTTCATGTCGATCTACCCATCGCGTTTCACACATTTTTATTAGAGTTTTTGTTCGACTTTGTGGGACATATTCATTAATACATTCAATCAGTGTTTTTGTTCTTTGCGATGAAGCTCGGAAAAATGTTATTACTGAAGATACAGTTCCAATACAGTTTCTAATTGATACGATTTTACATGAACTTCCTACAGCCAAATTCAAAGAATGAGAAGCGCAATGCACATAAAGCGCATGTGGAACAGCCTCTAAAATATAAAAATTAAATTATA